TTTAGCAGTTGTTCCTTTAGCAATCAAAAAACTGAAAAACACAGTAGCATACAGTATCCAGACTCTCTGTGTATTTTCCATCTTTACGTAGCTTATTTATTTATCTAATATTACTCTATTTCTTTTACATTTATTTATTTATCTGAGACAGGGTTTCTCTGGAAATCTGCCTGCCTCTGCCTCTGCAGCAAATCCAAGTCTGACTTTACTGTAAATCTTTATGTTTTTTTCTGGCCATGTGTCTTATTTGTTAAAACTGCAGCTGTTTAAACTGCAGTTTTTCCAAGATGGCGGGCATAAGTTTGACTCCAGCTCACTGTCTCAGTCTATGCTGACATCCAGCAAAAGCTGCCAGCTTGGAGATGTGGTCTCTGCCACTTTCAGCTGTACGTACACATCTTTCAATTGTTAGCAGAGCCTCTTAAAAGAACCTTGCTGGTTTTTTTTTTTTATTTGTGCTGAGTCAGGAAGACTCCCTTAAGCAAGCTTCGTGAATCTCTGCTTGTCGCTAGCAAAACAGAGCCCACCTGAGAAAATTGCTGCTACCAAAAAGTTGTGCTTCTCTCTGTTCTTTTGTTTCTAAAATTCCTTTTAAGCTTTTTCATTTTACGTGGAAATTCAATCTCACATGCTGACATCACCACCCCCTTTCTTTCCCCCATCTCTCCCTCCCCCTTTTGTTCTTTGACAGTTTCATACATGTATGTAAATAATTTTAGTCATTTTCACCCCATCCCCCTCTTCCTCTCTGCCACTGAAACCGTCCCATAAGCCCCGCCCCCTCCATATTCACATGCTCTGTTTGTGGGTGACTCTCCTGGAGTTTATGATTGGTTTCTAGCAGTGCTGTGAATAGGAGGTCATTTACTGAAGTATATGAAACTTATCAATGGCCCCACCACTTAAGAAAAGGATGTCATTAACTGCCACTACTCCCTTAGGGATAGGTGGGCCTTGTGGTCATTCCTCCATCTATGGTGAACTGTTGGTGGACCCAATCTTATGCAGGTCTTGTCCAGATAGCCACTGCTGCCCTAAGTTCATGAGTGCAATCCTTATGCCATGTCCACAGACACCTTTTGGTTGCACATCTCTCCATCCTTTGGCTCTTACATTCTTCTTTCCCCCTCTTCCTCCATGTTCTCTGAGCTCTGAAAAGGATGGTATGGATGTCCCATTGAGGACTGAACCATACCACCATCATTTAGTGTAGGCACTGTAGTCAGCTATGGGTTTCTGCATTAACCATTGCCTACTACAGTAAAAAGCTTCCCTGATGAAGGGATGAATGCAGAACTAATGTATGGATATGTAAGGATGAGTATTTAGAAGGCAGTTTGGCAACATGACCACTTTGCAAAGCAATAATAGTATGTTGCATACTGGGGTTGTTGCTGATGTTTTCTTGTTCCGCCAGGTCCCTCTTCTTCACCCTCAAATGAACACACAGAGACACTATATTAATTATTAAACTGTTGGGTGATGGCTAGGGCTTCTTACTGGCTAGATTTCTCTTAATTATTAACCCATTTCTATGTATTTCCGTGTGGTCTTGGCTTACCAGAGAATGCTTGGACCTGTTTCTCCTCTGGCAGCTACATGGCATCCTTTATGGTCTCTTTGCAGTCTCTCTCTGCCTACCTTCCCCAGAATTCTTCTCATTTCCTAGTCCTTTCTATCTTCCTGCCTCTATTGGCCAAACAGTGTTTTATTGATCAACCAATAAGAGAAACGTATACACAGAAGGACATCCCCCGTCAGGGGCCTATTAGACGTCCTCAGCCAAGGGCTCTTGAACAGGTTTACACAGCCAGACATGCCTTCACTTCTGTGTCGCATTCAATCAGAAAGCAGTTTGTTAGTCCCATAATGGGCATGCCACTGTTGCACCAGAGGGTGTGTCTTGCCTGGCATTGTTATTATAGGTCACAGGAATCCTGGCTGTGTAAGACACTGATGACATCTCCTGGCACCGTGAAAGCCAGCCAGGAGGGAGGAGGCATCTAGATCAGTTCCAGCTTGAGATCTTCATGCCCTGTGACCAAAATGGGCAGTGACTTTAGCAATAGGTCTTACCATGAAACTCTAGTAGGCAAAGCCAGAAGTGGTGCTACACTCTTTTAATCCCAGCAGTCAGGAGGCAGAGGAAGGTGGAGCTCTGAATTTGAGGCCAACCTGGTCTACAAACTGAATTCCAGGACAGCCATGGCTACACAGAAAAACTCTGTCTTGAAACAAAAGTTGTGGGAGGCAACCAAGAACGGTGGTAATAGACTGTATGGAGGGGTTTGGAACCTCCCTGACCAGTGGTCATAGGGGAGTGTCCCACAACCGGCAATGGGATTTTCATTTTAAAATCTATGACTTTTGGGAGAAGTATTATCCACCCATGGAGGGTACTTCCATTCAAAACCTCTTTCATGATAGTTTTAATAAACGTAAAACAGCAGATTTCCAAATGGCTTTTCATACATCCATGGTATTGGTTGCACCTCAGCTCATGTGAACTTTTGTCGTAAGGAAGACCAGATACAGATTTCATGGCTGCTAAACCCAGTCATCCTTTGGGATCCACAGGGAAATGGTTGCACTGTTGAATAAAATCCACAGATGTTCATCTCTTACCCAGCATGGCATGTTTACAGAAAACCCCACACATCCTCCCCATATACTTTAAGTAGTCTTTACCGTTCCTAAGTACTTTAAGAAATATCAAGGCTATGTAAGCTATTGTTAGATTGTTTAGAGAAATAATGAGAGAAAGAAGTCTGTTTGGGACAGATATGGTATTCACCCCCTTATGTTCCATCGTGGTTGATTGAGTCTGGGGATGCAGAAGTGTGGGTGTTGAGCATGTACCCTCATAATGAACTAACATGTAAAATGAAGATTTTTAAAAACACAAACTGGAATGTGTCACAGGTCCCAAGGGTGGGCATTTGGAAGCATTTCTGGAGCAGGGAAGCCAGGTTCCAGCCGTGGAGTGAAACCCTTTTCGTCTTTTCTTTGTGCCTCTTTAGGTACCTGCCCTGGTTTAGTCTCCGCTGACCAATCACCTCTGCTTCACCGGGGAGGGAAATGGAGGGACTAGAGCATCCACCAGTTGCTTCCTACCTGTCTCCATTCCCTGGCAGCTGCTCCCAGTTCTCCGATCTTCCCGGTTCCCCCAATATTTGACTCCCTATTTCTCATTAAGGTTAATTAGATTCGCGTTTCAGGAGTCACAACCCAACTGGAAACAACTTACCTCTAGGAGCCATGCTAGGTGAGAATCTGATTACGCACGCTGGAAAGTGCATCTAGGAAGAGGGGGCTGTTTCCAGAGTACGTAAATTCTTATATAAAACAATGCATCCCTTGATAGTTGCAGTTGTCATCATCCTGCGGCTGGATAGTTTATGGAGAAGAGCAGTTCTAGAGGCAGAAATGTTCAAGACTGGGCAGCCTCCTCTAGCAAGCCCCTGTGGCTACCCTGACAGGCAGATGCCACCAGACAGCAGGGACGTGTGCGTGAGTGGGGTTAGCACACACAGAAGAGACAGCGTGTGTACGAAATGGAGACAGGAGATGTCAGGCTCACTTTGGGACAGCCCACTCTCGACTAATGCATTCCTGTGTGTAACTGGCTGGTCTTGTGTCAGCCTGACACAAGCCAGAGTCATCAGAGAGGAGGGAGCCTCAGCTAAGAGAATGCCTCCATAGGACCCGGCTGCTGTAAGGCGTTCTCTCAATTAGTGACTCCAGTTCCAGGGGATTTGACACCCTCATACAGACATATATGACAGCAAAAACACCAATGTGTACAAAATTAACAAACTAAACCTTTTGTTTTGCGGATGCTCTAGGAGGTAGAGCCTAGTTGGAGCAAATAGGTCATGGGGTTTTGTCCTAGACTCTTTTTTTTTTTTTTTTGGTTTTATGAGACAGGGTTTCTCTGTATTGTTTTGGAGGCTGTCGGTCCAGCCCAGCCTCGAACTCACAGAGATCTGCCTGCCTCTGCCTCCCGAGTGCTGGGATTAAAGGCGTGCGCCACCACCGCCAGGCTTGTCCTAGGCTCTTCTGTCTTGTTCTCCCTTCCATTTCCCCTCTTCTTTTCCTTCTCTCTAGCTGGAGAGAAGATGAAAGATTCCACAGAGGTGTGCAGAGCTCTGAGCAGGGTGTATGTCATGAGGAACCCTGATTGAGCAAACAGTAATACTGCGGTTTGGGTGTGGACCGTCCCTGCCCAAATCCATGTTGAAATGTTACCGCAATAGGAAGATGCTGGGAAGTGGGGCCTTTAGGAAATAATTATGTGACAGAGGCTTTGCCCTTGTGACTGAATTAATATCTTCCTTGAGGCATTGTGCTAGCTCAGCGAATTACACTCGGGTCTTCCAGAAGCACAGTCAGTGCTCCTAACCACTGAGCCGTCTCTCCAGACCTGGGACCAATGTTTTTAACCACATGGCTACTTTGGGTAATTAAAATCCAAACTATAAGGTTAAGTCCTGTAGTTACCTCAAATGTTCTACTTTGAGGCAAGTTTTGAGACTGTGTTATAAGAAGCTAGAATTACAAACAGCACAGTGGTCCTCCAAGCTGAAGAGACACAAATCTGAAGTTAGGCAATCTGAAGCAACTGAGTCCATATGACAAACTACTAGCGAGGAGAGAGAGAGAGAGAGGAGAGAGAGCTACTGGGAAAGCTTCCATGATCTTCCTACACATTCTGCCTGAGTTTGCTTTTGAACAGGAAACAGAACATGAATATGGTAAAATCTCATGAGAATAGGGAAGAATTATCAGGGAGATATAAGCTGAACGGTTCCTCGTGGTCACCAAGGACTAAGACATTTGACTTCCAGCTGATACAATAGAATGAAGACGCTTTCAAGGAACACAACAGAACCATGGCATAGTGATAGGGAAGTCCTGTGTATCTGTCAATAAAGCACTGTTGGCCAATAGGGAAGCAAGATAGGTGGGACTGGGAGTTGAGGAGGATTCTGGGAAAGAGAGACACGGCAGAGACAATGTAGCCTTCCAGAGAAGTAACATGTCCGGACCCTTTTCTCTGGTAAGAGAAATACTTAGATTAACAATTATGGGTTAGCCAGTAAGAAAGAAGCAAATGGCCAACAGCTTCATAATTAATATAGCCTTCTGTGTGTTATTTGGGGACTGCAACTGTGGCAGAGCCCAAGCGGCTGGCGGGGGGGGGGACTACACGTTACAGCATAGGCTTGGTGGTAGTGGCCTGTGTCATATTAGCACTCAAGAGAAAAAAGAAAAGCAGGTGAGTCTCTATGAGTTATGAGGCCAGCCTGGTCTGCATAGCAACTTCCAAGGCAATCAGGACACTGTCTCAAAATAAAGAAAGAGGGGGCTGGAGAGATGGCTCAGTGGTTAAGAGTACCTACTGCTCTCCCAGAGGACCCAGGTTCAATTCCCAGCACCCACATGGCAGCTCACAACTGTCTGTAATTCCAGCTCTGGAAGGACCCGACACCCATGGCAAAACACCAATGTACATAAAATAAAAATAAATTTTAAAAATTAAAGTAAATAAATACTAAAGCATGGCATAAAAGAAATCCTACAATGCCCAGCGCCCAATACAATAGCTAGACTTATAAGGACACAGAAACTGTGAGTGACAACAAGGAGAAAAGTCAGCCAGTAATAATAAATAATAAACAGCCACAAATAAAATCAGCATACAGAGCTTCAAAAATAGTTATTATAAATAAATTCAAGTAGTTGGATAAAATTGTGGACACGATGAAGATGAGAAGGAAAAAGAAGTTATAAAAAAAAGAACCAAAGGAACTTCACTAAATGGGGAAAGGAAGGGGTGAAAATCATCCGGGCACTGTGGATAGCTGGCAGTGATGTGAATGTGGAAAGACTTCATTTGAAGGTACGACAACTGAAAGTATTCAGTCTGAAGGACAGAAGAGGTGATGGAGCCGGACATGGCGGTGCAGGCCTTTAGTTTCAGCATTCAGGAGCACCAGGCTCTCAGTGAGTTAGAGGGCAGCCTTGTCTGTATAACAAGCTCCAGGAAAGCCAAGGCTGTATACTGAGACCCAATCTCCAGGGTGCAGGTCGGGGGATCTAACAGAGTCATTGTGCCCTCAGGGGTGGTGACATTTTTGCTTGTGTAAATAAAGCCTGTTGAAGGTCAGAGAACGGAGTTTGCCAGTAGCTAACCATAGAAGCCTGGAGGTCTGTACACAGACAGACAGGAAGTGAGGTAGTTAGGTAGAAACAGGATGTAAGCAGGGAGAAACAGGAAAATCGTTCTCTTGCCTCCTGAGACTCGAAGGAGGTAAGGTGTGCCGTGGCTTGCTCCTTCTCTCTGGTCTCTCAGCATTTCCCTCTGTATCTGACTCCGGCTACTTATCATCTAGGCCAATTAAGAACTCCATTTACACTCTGGAACAATACCAAAGTGTGTAATACCTACAAAATTAAAGTTTCTGACAGATAAGAGAAATGAGATAACAACCAAAAATGTGAACCACCTCAGAAATTCGATGGTTCCAAGTGCCTGTTACTGAATACAATATAACCAAACACCTTGAAAACAGGAATTTAAAAAAGAAAGAAAGAGGACATCTTTAAAGTGTGGCAATACAAAGGTCTGGAAAGAGGCTGAAGGGCTCACACTGCTCCTGCAGAGGACCCAAGTTCTGTTCCCAGCACCCATGCTGCCAGCTTACAACACCAGTAACTCCAGTTTTGGGAGACTGGAAATATTCATAGACCTGAATACAAATGCTAGAACTTCAAAACAGCTCGACTAAAATACAGGAGAAAATCTTTACAACTTTAAATAAAACATTGGATTTCATTTAAAAAATATATCAACTTTCTTTCTGCTCTTAAAATGACACAGCTGAGGAATGAAAAAGCAAGGTGTCCCCAGCACACACAGAAAGGACAAACTATGTTAACTTAATCCAGGCACTTCATGAAAGATATGTAAATGGCAAATATGCATGGGGTGATCTGAAACACCAGCAACCACCAGGAAAATGCAAGACACAGTGAGGTGTTACCGAATGCTAGACTTGCTAACATTTAAAAAGCTGGCACCAAGTGTCGATGCATAGGTGGGGCAATTTGAACTATTGCTGTTAGAAATGCAGCGTGATAAATCTACTTTGGAAAACAATTCAGTTATTACAAAAGTTAGCCTACACTCCGCTTCTGTGTATTCATCCAGGAGACATGGAAGCATGATTGCATGGCAACGTGTACACAGACGTGCATGAGACTCTCTCCACCGTCAGCTCAAGATGGAAGCAGCAATTCAGACACTCTTCGGTAGGCGAGTGACCTGTGACCTGACCATGAGACACTGCTCAGTGATACAAAGGAGCAGCTACCGATGCCTGGAAGGACAGGCTGAGCCTGTGTATGTGAAATCAAGAAAAAGCAAACCTAATCTTTAGTGATAGAAATTAGCTTAATGGTTGGTTGGATGGATGAAGGAGCCAACCACAGACAGAATACCGAGGGTGTTCTTGGGGACAGCATAAATGTATGCAGTGATTGTGGTGATGGGGATATTTACATTCATCAAAGACACATACCTTTATCAAAGCTCATTGACCTGTGCAGTGAAATGTCTGTTTTTCTTATAAGTAAACTAAAACTAAAATGTACTTGATTTAAATAAACGCATGTTCAAGTCCCCTAGCACCAGCCACAATACACAAAATGGCCAGGCATGGTGGCTCACTCCTTTAATCCTAGCACCAGGGAGGCAGAGGCAGGCAGATCTCTGTGAGTCCAAGGCCAGCCTGGTCTACAGAGTGAGTTCCAGGACAGGCTCCAAAGCTACACAGAGAAAACAAACAAATAAAACACAAAGGCACCAAGCAAATGTTCTTTCTCATCTCCCCCAAGCCAACCACTCTGCTTTCCCTCTGTAGCCCCGCCGATTTTACAGTCCGAGCCTAGTATGTTTCTTTTGTGCCTCTGCCTCTCTAAACCCTCCATCTTTTGAGTGCCTCTTAAAATCTTCCAGCCTGAATGCTTCATGGGCCCCAACCTGGAGCCCTGGAAGCAGTCACCTCTTATTTATTTAGAATCTGTCAAGGTTGGCTATTGGCTTGTGTTTTTCCTGGCTTGCCTGGCTACATCTGCATCTTGCTTCTCCATTGTCTTTTGTTTTTGTTTTTTGTTTGTTTTTGTTTTTTGAGACAGGGTTTCTCTGTGGCTTTGGAGGCTGTCCTGGAACTAGCTCTTTAGACCAGGTCTCGAACTCACAGAAATTTACATGCCTCTGCCTCCCAAGTGCTGGGATTAAAAGCCTGAGCCACCACCGCCCAGCTCTCCGTTGTTTTTAGACTCAGGGATGATTCTGTTTTGAACCCTTCTCACTAGCTGCTATAGAAATACTAGGAAGAATTTCTCATTGTTGTCTAGGGTGGAGCTTCTCAGCCTTGCTGGACCGCTGAAAGTCTCCTGGCCCCAGACATAAGCATCTGGGACATGGAGACTAATCTAGAGAGATGTGAAGCAGAAGGAAAATGGGCTTTCAGCCCAACCCTGCTGTCTTCATCTTATCCATGCCCCCTGTTCATCTGTGGGGTTCTGACCAAACTCAGACTCTGCTTGCTCCTCACGGGTGAGTTCCATGGGTTCCATTGGAGGGAGATGAGAGGATTGTGTCAAACACCTGGTTACTGCTGTTACTGAGGGCTAGGTGGATGGTAGGACCAGGCTCCCGGGTCTGGTAGGGGGTCACGGAGCTGGTATCTTTCTCCAGGCTTCTGCCAGTCATGAGTTCATTTCCCTAGAGAGGAGAGAGACAGGCCGGGTCTCTGGCTCTGCAGCCTTTACAAAAGCATGCTGTGTTTCTTCAGTCCCATCCCCACATCTGGTTATACTTACTGTGCTAAAAATGTATCCATCCTGCTTGCCATGTTCTCTTTTTCAGAACATGGGGCAGCCCCAGGGGGAAAGTCCTCATGAATACCATGCATTAAAAAAAATCAGTCCTGGGCATTTACATATTGCCCCAAAATGAAAATCCATGGCCCAGAGCACACCTCTCTAGAAGCTCTGCATGCTGAAGTTCATGAACTAGGGTTCCACTAAAACCCTCCAAAGAGATGCAGAAGACTGTGTAGGGGACCCAGAAAAATGAATGGGTCTTTTGTCTGCCTATGACAGATTTGCTTCCAAAGCTGGAACAGCAAGGAGGTCAAGAGTCAAGACACCTGATTCTGCCTGTTGACTTTCTGAGTGACCAGGAGCATGTCTTCGGGCCTCTCTTTTCCATCTGGGCATCATCACTTCGGTCTTTGTGACAGCTGTGATTCTGGGAATGAGGCAGAGCGATTTGTCCATGGGTTTGTAGCTGCGCGTGTTCCTGATGCCTAGATCCATGCGTGGCACGTAGGAGACAATCTGCAGATGGTTTTCAAATAAATAGATATTGCAGGATTGTTGAACTATGTGCCTTGTGCATGACCACTGTGACACAGAGCAGCCAGACTCATCCCTGAGCTCCAGTATCCTTGTTACTAGAGCAGAGATAGGAAAGTGCCTGCGATGAGATAGTAGGTCCAGAAAGAATGTTTAACACCAGGTGGATGCTCACCCAGTTGGGGCTCACCCGGCTGGGACTCAGCCTGTGTTTACTGTTCCTTCTATCACATCACACTTCTTGGTTTCTCACAGGCTGTAAGAATGCCCCGTAGTGAGATAGCCTCCCTGCCCGCACCTGTGGTACTGACTCCCCCATGCGCATGCCTCTTTTCTTGGCTCACTAATGCCCTGTGTGGTGATGGGTTTCTCACTCAGTGACCTGTTCTGGTTCTCTTTATGAGTACCCGGGATGAGGTATATGGAGATAACAGTGACTCTTGTCGTGGCTGAGAGGAGATAGGGAGTTCTGTGTGCCTTACCTGGTGTCCTAGCTTTGTCTGCCGCAGCCGGGGTCACACAGTGCTGCTCCCTTCACAGGGAAGAGTGAGACTGAGCTGAGCCGAACTTAAGTACGTTGGAAAAACAAGGCCAGCCCCAGTAGAGTCCTCCGGGATGAGGCATCTGCCATTTGAAGAGATGGAGTCCGGGCTCCTTGAAACTGCTGCTGACAAATGAGGGAGAGAAACCACTTTGCTTGTGGGCATGACATCCAGGAAGATCATCGCCTCTAGCTGTCACCTGTCCTCAGAGGCAGCTCCTTACCCCAGGCCACCTGCTTCTCCTTTCCATTGCTGCTCCCAGTCCTTACCCCTCCTCCTTCCCAATCCTAACCCCTCCTCCCCTGCTTCTGCAGCCTTTGCTCCAAGGGCCTTACTGCACTAAGCCTGCCCTGTCCAGGGCCTCTGCCCTCAACCAGCTGCATGTTCTCCCATACTGATCTCCACTCTCCATTCACCATAGTCCTTCCCCTAAATAACTATGAGTACAATGAAGGAAGGGGCTTTCAATCTTTGGTGATCCCCAGGGTGCTAAGTTCAGTGTCCAGTAGGAGTCCGATAAACGCTTCTCAAATAAGTGGCCTGAGGCTAGAGGACCTCCTCCTCCTCCTCCTCCTCCATCCATTTCCTTCCTCCTTTCCCAACTTCTCCTCTACCTCCCCCACACCCCCTTCCACACAAGGATTTACCCCTGTGTCCCAGGGTAGCCTGAAACTATTTTTGGTCTTGACTCACAACAATCCTCCTGTCTCAGCTTCCCAAAGGCTTTGATGACAGACACTGAGACATGGTGCCTAGATGCTGTTTCATATCTCAAGATGAACGTTTAGAGGGCGATGTAGACACAGGAATGTACACTTATTTCTGGTACCACAAAGCACAGTGCTTGAGAAATGTGCTCTTTCTGGCTGCACACTGGCAAAGAGCTTTGGGCTATAAGGAAACACCGTCTCAGAACTGCCATCAATCTGCATGCGATGGAAGATAAATCCTGTAACCTTTATCTGCCTTCCTATCCATGCAAGAGGTCACATCTTAATCTTAAAAGAGTGGCATAAGCATGAAATGGGATAGAATTTTTAAAGAGATACTGAATAAATGCAGTTCCTCACTCCAAGGGGCTCATGAGGGATACAATCAATGAACCTATTGATAACGCTCTTCTTTAGCTCCTGGGAGACTTTGGTGAGCAAGCCCAACATATTACTGAGAAGAGTGGGCAGTTGTTGCTGGAGGTTTCCTTGTCCCACCACCCTTCTCAGCCCCAAATAAGCACAGTGACGCTATATTAATTATAAAACTATTGGCCAATGACTAGGGCTTCTTACTGGCTAGCTCTCTCTTAATTATTAACCTATTTCTATTAATCTATGTATTTACACGTGATCTTGGCTTACTGGAGGATGTCCGGACCTTCTACTGCTTTGTCAACAACATGGTGAAGGTCTTTGGCGGACTCTCTCTGCCTACATTTCCCAGAATTCTCCTCGTCCTAGTCTCGCCTAACTTCCTGCCTCATTGGCAAGACAGTGTTTTATTCATCAACCAATATATATGTATACATAAGGACATTCCCCATCAGGCAGTAGGATCATAAGTTTCAGGACAACATGGTGAAACCCATTTCACATACACACACACACACACACACACACCATGTGTACATTAACAAATAGTAATAGTATACCAGTTTCTTTTTGCTGTGAACAAATATCTGACATGAAGCAACTCTGGGGAGAAAAGCTGTTTTGTCTTACAAGTTGAGGGGATACAGTTCATCATGGAGGGGAACACATGGTGCCCAGATCCATAGGGGCAAGCATGTGTAGAACCTAGGGCTCCATCTCTGTGGAGGATGCAGAGATCTGACCATAAGTGGGTCTGGATCATAAAACCCCAAGGCCCACTCCAGCAACCCACTAAATCCAGTGGGGTTCCATCTCCTAGACAAGCTTTCAAAATAGCGCCCCCAGCTGGTGAGCAGGTGTTCAAACACATGAACCTGTGAACATGTCACACTCAAATCACAGCAATGACCATATAGTGAAATGTCAAGAACAGAGTGTGAGAGGAAGGATGGAAGGAATGGGGGGGGCATCCTGAAAATGGTTGCCATGTGTCACCAGGAAACAAAGAAGAAAGGTTGGGCGACATCCCCTACTGTGGGCTAGAGGCTGAGGTGTGCCAGGCTCTTGTGGCTTTGCCAGGAACAAAATGACTACTCTCCAGCAAATGGCCAGAGATGGAAGAATGTCATGAGCTCTGATCCTGGGGTGGGGTTTGTGGGGCAAGGTAGAAGCAGGTGTGTAGGTTTTTTGTTTGTTTGTTTTTTACTCTTTACTCTTTGGGGGCCCACCACCCAGCTCCCAAACAATCACATGGAGGCTTATTCTACCTTGTGAATGCCCGGGCTTATTTCTAGCCAGTTTTTTTTAACTTAAATTATCCCTCTACTTTTTGCCTCTGAGCTTTTATCTTTCTCTGTTCTATATACTTTTCTTTATTTCTTACTCTGTGGTTTGCTGTGTGGCTGGATGGCTGGCCCCTGATACCCTCCTCTCCTTCTTTTCTGATCCCCTATCTCTCTTTGCAGATTTCTCCTCCTATTTATTCTCTGCCTGCCAGCCCCGCCTGTTTCTCTCTCCTGCCTTGCTATTAGACATTCAGCTCTTTATTAGACCAATCAGGTGTTTTTAGATAGGCAAAGTAACACAGCTTCACAGAGTTAATTGCAACATAAAAGAATGCAACACATCTTTGCATCATTAAGCAAATATTCCACAGCATAGACAAATGTAACACATTTAAAAATAATATTCCACAACACAGGTATGTCTAGGGAAGGTCTGGAGACTCTGGTCAGATAAATAGCTAGGTAAGCAGGCAGGCTAAGAATGCCAAGCCAGGCTGGTGATGGGCAGTGCTCAGAGTTTGGCCTTTCCCAAGAAGCCACAAAGGCTGAGAAGGAAGTGTGGGAGGTCTTCTAAGCACAGAGAACAAGGCCCAGAACCAGACTCCTCTCCACACTTCTGCCTCCATCTTTCCTCTTCCAGCACCCTACAGGGGCCCTCATCTTTATGGCCCACTCTCTCTTGTAGTCTGTGCTTTCCGTAACACTAACACAGTTGGTCCTTGACTTTCTGATCTGTCCTTTCTCTATGGACGTGTTCATACTGAGGTGTCACGGGTGCCTGGCATACAGTAGGTGCTAAGTAAATGAACCAGTAGCCTGCTGCACAACACAAATCAAATGTCTCCATAACATATGGTGCTGCCCCTGGGTAACAACAGAAGTCCCATTCCTGGCAATACAGGTCCAGAAACTGTGGTCACATTGTTGCTCTTGGGGGAAAAATTGTAACAAGCTCTGAACAGTCCAGGTAGGACCCATCCCTAACTCTAGCCTGGTTAAGGGATGTCCAGGCTTGAGAGTCTCTTATGGGACCACAGCCAGCTACAGAGTATGGATAGAACAGGCTTCAATGGGCGAGAGCTTTACTTAGCAGTCCACGTGTCTCCTAAATAACAGACTTAAATAAGTAAGGCAAGCTGTGAAAATCTGTGGTTAAAAATGAACAGAGGGCTGGGAGTGGGAGTCCGACAGATGGACACCCCGCCTCTTGTGTGACAGGTGGGACAATCCCAGGCACACAAACACATCTCTCAAGAGCTTTGGCATTGGCACATTTAGAGGCATCCCACAGAACGAGCCCTGCACACACAGGCTTCGGTTATCTCAGCCCACGGCAGCTCTAGACAGGTAGACATGGGGTCTGCCTGGACCTCACTCACGTGGTCACGAAACCCTCCACTGAAAGGAGGGAAGGGGCCAAGACAATTCATGCTAAGATCTGGAAGTGAGAAGCAATGCCTGAAGACAGTCTCTGAGATAAGTTTGGATTGCATCCTTCCGGCACGGTAGCCTCCACACTCTCTGGTCTCCTTCATTTTCTCTGCCTCTACCTGTTATCAGTCCCAGCTCAGCTCACCTGCCACTCTGCCATTTGATAAGTAGTACAGTTGTTGGGTTGTTGTTGTTTTTGTTTGTTTGTTTTCCTTACTCTTTGGGGGCCCACCACCCAGCTTCCAAATAAATACAAGGAGACTTGATTCTTACTTATTAATGTCCAGTCATAGCTTGGCTTGTTTCTAGCCAGCTTTTCTAATTTAAATTATCCCATTTCTCTTTAACTACATTTTGCCTCTGGGCTTTTTACCTTTCTTTATTCTATATATCTGTCTTTCCTTCTTACTCCATGGCTGGGTGGCTGGGTGGCTGGGTGGCTGGGTGGCTGGGTGGCTGGGTGGCTGGGTGGCTGGGTGGCTGGGTGGCTGGGTGGCTGGGTGGCTGGGTGGCTGGCCCCTGTTGTCCCCCTCTCCTCCTTTTTTCAATTCTCACTCTCTTCCCTAGATTTCTCCTCCTATTTATTCTCTCCTGCCTAGCTATTGGCCATTCAGCTTTTTACTAGACCAATCATGTGTTTTAGACAAAGTAACACAGCTTTACGGAGTTAAAACAAATGCAACATAGAAGAATGCAACACATCTTTGCATCATTAAACAAATATTCCACAGTATAAATGAATGTAACTCATCTCAAACTAATATTCCACAACAGAGGACACATTGCAATAATGTCCCCTGGGAAAATTATCCTGATTTATGCAAATGAATCTCCTGTCCCCCCAACTTCCCACCCCTGACAGATGTACCCACTTGGAGGCAGAGGCTAGCGCATGTCCTCCACCATTCTGTGGCCCCTTGCAAACAGTCTGTGTTGGGAGTGTTCCCACACATCAGCCATACTCGGTCTAATTTCCCAATATGCTCTTTTTAAAAAAATTTTTTTTTGTTTTGTGACAGCATTCCACTATGTAGCCCTGGCTGGTCTGAAACTTGCTATATAGACCAGGCCGGCCTCAGGCTCCCAGAGATCTGCCTGCCTCTGCCTTCTGAGTACTGGAATTGAAGGTGTGTACCACACCCAACTCCAATGTGCTCTTTGGTTTGGAGACAGGGTCACCCGTTCTTAGCAATGTCCTCTCTCCGTGGTTCCTATTGCATGGCAGAAGCAACCTCCCTCAGTGAAGAAAACTGAAAGTGGAAGCCCCAGGGAGAGCTGGGGTGGAGTACACTGGGCATCTAGAAATCCTAGGTGGTGGGTGGTGACCTTCCAGGGGACGGGCCACGGACTCCACAACACATTGTTTTGAAACATAATCCATTGTATTTTTCCTATAAGGGCTTTGGCTTCCATTCTTAAGTCAAAAACCATAGAAGCAGCATGTAACGGTAAATCTTTAATTCAATAACGACAACAATGAAAAAGGTTTGGGAGGTTAGCATCATTTATATTTCAAGGGTGGGTCTTTTCACAATTCATCCAAGAGATACCTTGGGAACTGGCACAGTTGGGATCCACATCATGGAATAAAAAAAAAGTTACACAATAAAAAAGAAAAAGAAAAAGAAAACCTAGGTGGTTGGAGGGAAAGGAAACCAGTTGTGACCTCAAGGAAAGTGGTGGTATTATCAGTGGGTCTGCCAAGACAACCCAGACAATTCCCTAAACCATTGGCTACAGAGTTACGTAACTCCACCATTCTCAGCCCTCGGTTTTAAGGACACAGAGACGCACCAGAGTCAAAGAGGTTGTTCAAGGTCACAGAAGAAGGAATGGTGAGTCAGGGTTCAAACTCCCTGTTAGGATAAAGCGCAAAGGGGAGCCTTGGGTGGGGGACCACGGTGGATTCCATGGCAGGTGAGGGTGACCGAGGCGGAGGGACAAACATGTCAGGCAGACAGAGCTTAAGTGACAAATTTTATTAGAAAGGGGAAGGGGGGAGGGGGTGGAAAGAAAAGAGAGGTAAGAGACACAGAGACAGAGAGAGGACAGAAGAGAAGAGGGAGCCAGGAAAAGTCCTGTCTGCCCCAGGGGGACAGCGGGAGGGAAGAGAGAGCGGGAAGAGAGCTGGAAAAGAGCAGAAAAGGAAGGGAGGGGAGAGAGAGAAAAGCCAGAAAGAGAGAATAAGTGGGCGGGATCTTTTAAAGGGTCCTTTGCACCTGCGTGCAGACTACGCAATCATGGAACCCTGGGCTGACCAGGGCACTGCCTGAGTGCATTCTGCCAGGTGACAGGGGCGGGCCAGCATAATGCCTGAGTTCTTACAGTCCCCCAGTCCTACTCCTCACCCTTTACCTCAACCCCACCCAAACCACAATGATAGCACTCAGCCGGCCTTGCCCTCTCCTGTCACACAAGGTCCCAGGCAAGTATTCAGAGGCTCCAGGTGAAGAAAGGCTGTGTCTTGCCCGGAAAATCACTTCCTTCCTCGAGCCCAGAGAGGTTCTCATCAATAATCTGGAGTTTTACAACAGAAAGCTGCCTCAGTGGGCAGCTGGGAGGTTAAATATGTTAATCCATGTAAAAGACTTAGAGCAGCGTCTGGCCCTGGAAGCTTTTAATAAACGTGCCCCATTATTAATATGATTGTTCCCACTGGAACGTTCCAGGTCTCTCTGGCTGACCTCATCTCCTCTCCGGGAGATTCGTGGATTGACTTCCGACACCTGCTTGCGTTTTTAATTTATCCTTTCATCTTATTCGCCCACCTTCCCTTCTCCTTTCCTCCTCCTCCCAACCCTGACATGTCATTGAATCCGCTTAATTCATTCCAAGGCTCAGAGCCCCAGATCTCTGAATGCGACAGATTGAGGGGGTGGGCTAGGGGTGGAGAATGGAGGCGTAGGTGTAATAGGACTTAAATAGGCTTGCACACGCTTCTCTTTTTAATTTGCACATTCTGCTCCACCATTGGGGCCACTTTTGTTTTGCCTTCTCTTGAGTAAGTAGGAAGATGATTTTTTTTTAACTGCTTCTTTCCAGCAGGCAGTCTTGGCGGGTGCAAAATGCGTTAACACCTCCGTGCACGTAAACGTTCTAGTTACATGCTGACCAGCAGCCAATCCCAGGCCCCCACTCTGACTCTGATGCAATCTTAAGGTCCCAGTGTCTGGTGGGTGACGAGCCATCAAAGGGCTGGGTAATGAAGGAAGCCATTTGGAGCCCCCCAGTTCCCTCTCTGTGGCTCTGTTAACCCACCCTGGCTCCTGGTGCGCTCCCTCCCCTGTGGCAGTGGGTTTCCGCACAGGCTTCCAGCATGGCGAATGGGACCTGATTGGCAGACACAAAGGTGAGCGCACACGTCCAGGGATGGAGATAGGACTTGACTTAAGCTGTGGTGAGAAATCCAGTCTGATCTCAGGAGGCTGAAATCATGGAGGCTTAGCATCCATCACTCTCTCATGGCGGTCAGGGGATCCGGGCTCAGTCCTCTGCTTGCTGGGTAGCTCCCACTCTTGCTAAGCAGCAAGCCCCTCCGGGTGGAGCTGGCCACAGGTTGCACACCCAGTCTGCCTGGCAGCGAGTGGGTGCCTCCTCCAACTGACAGGCAGCAGAGCCCAGGCCGCAGGAACTGAGAATTCTCCAGGGAGAGAAGAGGAGGAGAGCTAGGGTCATACTCCCGGACTCTGTCAGGCCTGGTGGGACTCGGTGGTGGGTAGAGGTTGGGAGCGGAGGCCAACCGTTTACCGGCACAGTCAACAAACAAGGACGGAGGACACAAAGCCAGACATTGTGCTAAGCGCTGAGGAAGTAAAAAGGAATTCTTATTTATAATTTATACCCCACCTACTTCCAAAGAGAATTTTAAAGGTGACTCACAATGAAAAACCACATATGAAGCAAGATCGCTGAGTTAAAAACTGAAATGCCAAACCATGGGAATGAAGAAAGGGAAGCCTGTGTTGCCTATCACCACTGTGCCAAAGTCTGTCCGTCCTTCTGTCCAGCAATTCCACTTTACAGAAGAGGGCGATGGGAACGAGGAGGTGTGCCTCGAGCTGAGGGAAAGGTGAGTCGCTCAGGTCCGTAGGTACATTTTAGCGAGCATGGAAATATCTAAAAATTTCCTTTAGAACTAGAGTTTAATGAGAACCATAGGAGAACCATTAATTAGGTTAAGGAAAATGCATTAATGTCTAATTACTAATGGGTCACTCTGTGTGCCATCAAAATCGTATTTAATTTTCAGAGGATGACAAATGTCAAAGTACCTGGGGTCCCCAACCTTGTAGTACACAGCCTGGGGCGCAAACTCAAGCCCATCACGCCCACACGGGAGGACTTGCGACACGATGAGATCAGGGGTCTTAGAGTGTGTGCAGTGGGGCGCACTTACATTCTGTATCACGTGATTATGGGGGAACGTGCTTTCATTTTTTTTCCTTGCAGCTTATCTACTTTCTCTGGGTAGAGGCGTGGGGAGAACGCCGGTTATCCAGTTACACAAGCTCCTGGCCTGCTTGAGCAGTTGAAAATTATCGTTCATGGGTGGCTTGGATGACACAGGTAAACCCCAGCCCTTTGAGTATTCCTTGGGCCCCCGGCATGGCAAAGGATTCAGTGGTGTGTTTCCCCAGCTGCTGGGGGAAGCAAACTGGGTTTTCCTGTGCATCCTTACTGTCTTCTGAGTGGAGGGGTGAAGCTAGCTCCCCAAAGTCTCGAGCTGCCAGTGGGCTCAGCACACCCACCGGTCTAGCTCAGATACCCACTGTGGCACTCATACTTCTGTCTTCTTCAAAAACTCCAAGCTTTCCAGGCTGTGCCCTGGTGTACTGGGGAAGGGAGGGGTGGGGTGACAGGAAGTGACAGGCCTGATTTGGCTGGTCTCTCCCTTCCCGCTTCCCACAGATCACAGTGACCCAGAGCTCAGGGTTATCTGCCATTATCTCAAGATCTACTCAGTCAGACCTCACTCACACTTCACAAGTTAAATGAGATTCGTTTACAAAGTCAGCCCCCCCCTTTTTTTTTTATTGACCATGGATTGCTTTCCAGAATCTGAGAACCAAGCATTGCTTCCACGAGCAACAAAACCCAGCATAGCAATATTTATAGGCGATGGGTTATCTAATGATCATCCCCGGGAGTGGTACCCCACCAATAGAGGTCCAATAGAAGCTTCCAGTTGCGCTGGTTTTCAAATCCAGAATAAGCATATTCTATGTTCCCCATGGGGGGAGGGGGTGGGGAGGGTGGGGGGGGTGGACACTAAGCTATATGCATACTGTCTTCTCCCAGCTGTCTGCCACATCAGCTCTCAAGAAAAGCCCACTAGAACACCATGCCTTTCTCTGCTGAAGGAAGGTAAATATTGGTAAGCCTGGTGGTGCCGTAGCTGGTGTTCTGAGACCTGAATGTAGCCTGAACACCCTTGCAGAAACAGAATGATAGCCCCGTGGGAACTACACCTTTCAGGCATGTTTTGGACATAGAAGCAGAGCTACTGTCCATCTCTCCCATCCCGAGGGAATCCAAAGAGCTGCACATGAAAAAGGAGAGGGCAGAGCCAATCTCTGTTATCACAGTTCTTGTGAAGATTAGTCATGCTCCAAAATGTGAACTAGAAATGTTGAGAGTTTGGGAAGGAAATGACTCAACCAGTATAAAACGTTACAAAATAATCAATCAGCCAGACCCCGGAGTCTTCTACATTTAGGCTGCAGACTTGCAACGATCAAAAGGCTGGATGGATATAAAGTGCGAACCTTATCTTGGACCAGGAGGAAAATCTAAAAAGCTAAGAGCAGCTGCCTTTGACAGAAAGATGAACATGAAGAGAAACAAGGGCTTTCTGCTGGGAAGGACTGGACTCCAGGGATCATCTGGTCAAACACCTGCCTGTGGGGTGGAGAATAAGCAAGGGTAGTTACTCTCGCCTCTCTTGTCCATATTATCCAACCCATTTCATTATATAAAAAATGTTTTAAGAGTTGAGATGTTGGCCGGGCATTGGTGGCGCACGCCTTTAATCCCAGCACTCAGGAGGCAGAGGCAGGTGGATCTCTGTGAGTTCGAGGCCAGCCTTGTCTACAGAGCAAGTTCCAGGACAGCCTCCAAAACAATACAGAGAAATCCTGTCTTGAAAAACCAAAAAAAAAAAAAAAAAAAAAGAGAGAGAGTTGAGATGTAAGCTTTAAGTATATTTAGATACTATCATTCTGTGGATAGAAAAATCTAAGCACGTACAAATATGATTAACCCAAGTTTAGAAAGATTGCTGGGTATAAAAGTGACATACAGAAAAAATACATTTCCATTGATAGGTAATCAATATGCATATTACCAATAAACACTGAGAAAAAGAAACTCTAAAGTAATCATTTATATTTGCAACAAAAGTCATGTATGGGGGCTGGAGAGATGGCTCAGCAGTTAAGAGCACTGGCTGCTCTTCCAGAAATCCTGAGTTCAATTCCCAGCAACCTATATGGTAGCTCACAACCATCTATAATGAGATCTGGTGCCCTCTTCTGGCCTGCAGGCATACATGCAGGCAGAACACTGTATACATATGTATACAAATAAACAAATACATAAATAAATAAATCTTTTTTAAAAACAGTTAAATATGTACCTAGACTTATCTTTAATGGCTATAAAATTATTAGATTTCAAGAGTGGTCATTAAGAGATATCCGTAGAAATATTGGGGTGTAGTGTATTCCATGTATCCATGAACATAGTACACCTGCTTGTATCCGTTGGTATTGGTGAAGAGTTCAGTTTTTCTAAGTCTCTGTATGGAATCAGTGCACCCCAAGACTATAGCATACCAAATGACTTCATGGAGAAAGTAACGCAGTCTGTATTTTTTGTTTTTGTTCTTGTTTATTCAAAGCAGGGTTTCTCTATAGCTTTGGAGCCTGTCCTGGAACTCAATCTGTAGACCAGACTGGTCTCAAACTCACAGAGATCAACCTGCCTCTGTGTCTTAAACGCCAGGATTAAAGACATGCGCCACCACCACCACCTAGCTCACAGTCTGTATTTTTAAATCCTATCATGTCCATGGCTAATCATGTCCACAGAAACCTGCCAACCAGAGTTCTGATTCTCCTTTCTTCTCTGCGTAGTGTGATGGCACGTTCTGAATCCACATTCGCTGGGGAACCCATGGGGGCAATGAGTACCATGCCCCACGAGGACTCAGAAGTGTAAATTCTGGGACGTCTCTGCAGCCCCGTGTGGCATCACTGTCATGGAGGATGGGCACTAGGGCGGCATGAGATCCTCACTCTGCTCCCTCTTTGTTTTTGTTTTTGTTTTTCCCATGACAGGGTTTCTCTGTATAGCTCTGACTGTCCTGGAACTCATTCTGAAGACCAGGCTGACCTCAAACTCGCAGAGATCTGCCTGCCTCTGCCTCCCGAGTGCTGGGATTAATAGTTTCACCAGACTCCCTCTTTCTTTTTCCTTCTTTCCTTCCCCACTCCTTATCCCCTTCCTCTTCCGATTTCTCCTTCCCCTTTTCCCCTCCTTCCGTCTCCTCCCTTGTCTCTACTCATCGTCCCCCTTTCTTATGTTTAGTTTCTCTCCTTGTCCCCTCTGTACCACCATCCTTGTCCTTATCGTTTGCTCTTAATCCCTCCCCTTTCCAGTCCGTGTTCTCATATAGCTCTCACCCTCAATCAGATAGATGGCCTGGTGGTATAGACACTGAGACATGTTAGCTCTCCAGTCCTTCCCTCCTCTAGAAACCAGCTCTAACTAGTTTTCGGGACACTGAATTCCCTCTGAGACCTTTGCCCCCAGAGATCTTCCTCTGTGTACTCCGAGCTCCGGTTCTCCACAACCCACAGACCCCTGTGTTCCACTGGCTGACCCAGATGCTCTCCAGCTGTCCTGGGAGCCAGTTCTAAAGCCACGGCCAGGGATGGGACTGTCTCCTGACTTCTACACTTATGCCTCCTCAGCTCCCCAACAAAGCATCCCCTGCCCTTTCCTGAACCCCAAGACACAACCACAGATTGCTGGCTGCCCTCTCTTCCACCCCGAAGAAGGGCTGTTTTTGCAATAAGGGGCACTGGGAGATTGTCCTCTGCCAGGAATGCAAAGATGTGTTTTGTTTTGTTTTCTCCACAGTCTAGGCTGATTTGACCTGATTGGCTGGAGAGATAGTGCTGTGGGAGGGCAGGGGGGAGAGAATGGGAGGGGGACTACAAGATGGGGAGGCACAGGGGAAGGAAAAATGAAGTTCTAGAATTTTAAGACTGGAAAAGGAATGGAATCCTGCAGGACCCAAAATACACATACTGTACAGTTTTAGCAGTGGACCACGAAGCTTGGAGACAAGAGGAAGTTTGCTCTTGTCTGGAGTTAGCTAGCAGAACCCAGATTAGCCAGCAGAGCAGACCCCGCCCAAGCCCAGCACCCCCCACCCCTTTACTCAAGGCAGAGAAGGTTGACAGGCTTGGCAGCAAAATGAAACTGTGTGATTTACGAGGAATTCTGAGCTATCTTCCAGTTGACAGCCTCTGGAGCTTGCACCAGCCTACACTTTTGTGGGGGCAGCATTTAATGAAACAAACACATGAGTTATCCGTCTTTCATTAGGGATGACATGCAGAAAATACATATCGGAATGAAAACTAGGCTCCTGCCCAGGAGGCAAGGTCCCGTGGTCAAGAACAAGTGGCAGAGCCAGGAGCGCCCGTCTCCGGATGGGAAAGGGAAGGGGGGAGCCGACGCCCTCAAACGCTTGCCAGTAGGTCCTGCAGGAGTTCAGGAAGCTGGGTGCAAGGCTCAGGGTTGCACCCAAGAAAACTGAGGCTCAGGGAGGGCAAGGAGCTCATCACAAGTCACCCAGCTAGTGAGTGACTGAGCCAGGAGTCCATGCCTGGCCTCTCTGACCCAGCTTCCTAAAGCATCTGTGTGTGGCAGGGAGGCCGGCAGTGCAGGGCCAGGGGTCCAAGCTGCGCAGATGAAGCGGGGGAGTGCGGCCCAAGCTGCAGGCGTTCACTGCAGACAAGTGATCCAGAGACGAGGGAGCCTGGAGCTGGCACTAGGGGACAAAGACTTTGGTGGTCAGCCAGTTCCAGATAGCCAAACCTGTGGAGTCTAGGGAGATACCCATGGCCTCTGATGCTTTCTCATTTCCCAGTCTCAGATCCACCTGGCATCGGAACCAGGAAGCCCTGTCAGACCCTCATCTCAGATGAGGCGCTGTCCAGATGGGTCCCAGGGCTGCCACTTCGAATGGCGCCTCTGCCTACTTCTCTCGACCCTCACGTTCCTGTAATTTTGTTGTTCTTGTTGCAGTTTGAGACAGGGTTTCTCCGTGTAACAGACTTGACTGTCCTGGAACTCGCTCTGTAGACCAGGCTGGCCTCGAACTCACAGAGATCCGCCTGCCTCTGCCTCCCCAGTGCTGGGGTTAAAGGCGTGCGTCACCACCGCCCAGTGTGATGTTTTTATGTAACAACAACTACCTCTTGGTATTGTTCAGAAAGTTTTTTTAATGTTGTAATTATTACAAGCCACACAATAAATAACACATGCCGAGTGATTTCTGCGCCGTGCACCGCCGTGTACCACCTGACTTAGCCTTCAACAGGACCATCCTACACATGACAGTTATGATTCCACTCCACCTACAGGACGCAGAAGCTCAGAGAAGTTAGTTGTCTGCCTAGGCCACACAGCAAATGAATGGCAAATTCAGCATTTGAACCAAAGTCATTGTGCATATACTCCCAAGCCCATTCACGTGACCAAGGAGCTGAGTACTGAGAAGGTAGCTGTCACTCAATAAAAGGGAGTGATGGTCCCTTCTTTGTACCCTTAAGGGCCTGAGTTTTCCTAGTGTCCTCTAGGATTTGCTTCTCTGGAGTTTTCTGAAAGCCGGGAGAAAGCTAGGAGTGGGAGGGCAGCAGGGATCTGCTCCCTTGGTCCCAGCACCCCTTCCCTCCACCCCCTGCCTCCCTTCTTTTTAGGGTTTGGCAGACACCACTTCACTTGAGGCCTCTTATGCATTTGGAAACAATGCAAGTTTATTTTGGCACTGCAGAGAGGGCCAGCTCCTCTGCTCTGGACGCCTCTGTGGGAGAGGGCTAGAGAATGTGACCCAGGCCACTGTCCGTTCCCGTTACTATCCCAGGCACATCCACGGAACCATCACAGCCGTGTGGAGGCCAGAGAAGGAAATGAGATAAGAGCTGGCCTTCAGACAGATCACGAGAGTCACCTCTCCTCTCTCAGGGCTCATCTCCAAAAAGGAGTTCAACTGGCGCCATGAGCTGCAGTCGACCCAACAGATAGCTCTGTCTGTATCTTTTCCCCAACTCTGGCATATTCCCACCTGTGTGTTTGGCTTCCTGCAGCAAATGCTGCAAGCCAAGGCCTATAGCCAGTGTGGTGAGGAAAGTCACCCTGAGCTGCAATGGGTGGCTAGTGTCCCCTGGTCCATGCCCGCAGGGTGGGCCCACACAGGGAATGGGTGGCTAGTGTCCCTACTTCATAGCTCAGAGATCCCACAGCCACCCCACCCACAAGCCTGGTTTCCCCACATTTGCAAACATGGAAACGATGACCTGGAAAGGATAAGCAGTCAATCAGATTCACAAAGGAGGCAGGTCAGTGGTAGAACCAGGATGCTGTCTAAGACAAGGCTCTGCCTGTCCCCGGTTGTGGGACTTGCTTCTGAAGCACTTGGGTTGGAAGCTCATCCAGACTTTGAGCCTGTCTCTGTTCCTTAAACCTTAGGAAAGCTTGTGGACAGCGCTTCTGGAGGAGTTGAGCTAACATTTGTCCCCTTGTCATTTTTACCCATGAATCATCCAAACCCTAAACATAGCTTCAGGCAGAGAAGAAGTCCCTATCTCTGCCCTTGGCCATGACTATCCTTTAGACATGAGAAGATGGCCCCAGGTGACCCTTTGTCATCCCTGTTCCAATCCCGGGACCCGTGGCGTGTGGGAGACCAGCCTTGCCTCTCACTTCCTGGCCATGGGATGTGTGAGCACATTTCCTAGTACTTTCGAGCTTCCGTCAAAGGGGAAGGA